TATGTAAGTTGTTGTGTTCTTTGGATGGCTACAGAGTCCAACAACTCCGCCACGATGATGATGATGGAACAATGACGAGAGAAAGGATCGAGTCGTTTTATGAGATAAAGATCTTTTCATTTTTTTAAAGAAATGTGAAATCTTTCTTTTCTCAATCGGGGTGACGAATGAGTCTGAGGAAAGAGACTCGGCATTCAATGTACGTCACTTGTTTAATATATTCTGCCAACTGGAGACATTAAAATATTTGAAATTTCAGTATGGATTAAGGTTGTGTTTTGCGCATGGTGAAATAATCAATGACTTCTCCTCGATCGTTGAATTGTTGGAAATTCACAGTGAAGGTCGTGAGTGAGTCACGCTTAATTTTTAAAAGTCCAAATCCTTCATCATTGTTATATCTCATGTAATTCCACTTGATGTTGGTGTTGAAATCGTGAGTTGGATCCATTCCTCCCAAACTACCTCCACTTCCATCTACAATGTAAATGGTGTCCTGTGGATTAATATAATTATGTGGATCTTTGAGTTGATCTTGTTCAATGGTTCCATTATAAATTGGATATTGTCTCTCTGTTCAGAAAAAATTGTGTAAGGAGAAAAATGTCAAACGAATCGATATTTCAATTGTTTAAATGTTTCATAAATATTTCAATTGTAAACGTTTCATAAATATTTCATTTAACAATGTTTTAACAATAAGATCATGAAAAATGGTATTGACTCACGAGTAGCACTTACCATACGCATGTACATGTCCACAAATGGCCATATCTACTCGATACTTTTTATAATCATTCTCAAATAATTCCTGTAATATCTTCGAGTCACCGACGACATTGCCGTTGGCATCAGAAAATCCTTTTTCAGTTGAATAAATTGGTCGATGACCAACAGTCATGAGGAAGGGTGTTTGAGTTCTGTTAGCATTCATGATGGCATTCTTGACATAGGAGACATGATCTCCTTGGAAAACTGGTTGAAATGGAGCATTGGGATAATTGGTCTCTGTATCAATCGCTACAATTCTCACTGGTCCAAAATCGAAATGATACCACATATTGTGCCCATATTTGGTATCATTTCTGAGTGGCATCCAAAATTTGTGATTGTAAGCAGTAAAGTTGTATTCGAACGAGTGTCTATTTGTTGTTGTTGGAATTTTGGATTCATTAAATTTCATATTAAATGTGTCACACATTAAAATTGAATTGTTAACATCGAAAAGAACGAAAAGATTGGAAAATTCTTGTTAAAACTATCATTCCTAAACACTTACTTGTCAGGTCCTAATCTTGGTCCATACTCATGGTTACCTACAGTAGTCATGTAAGGCACATAGGGCTGAACTCCTTCCCAATGCTCAAAAAATTTATCCCACACATACTGATACATGAATCCGGGATATGAATCAGCATAGCTGATATCTCCTACATGGTAGATGAAGAAATTTCCATTTCCAGTGTTATCTTTAACAATTTTTGAAATTCTCTCAATATTGGATTCACAAAAGAAAATTCCCATATCACCAAAGATGACAATGGTGACCTCAGAAATGTCTTTGCTTCTTGTTGTAAAGTAATGAGTCGAATCCGATTGAACAGTAAATACAGGTTTTCCATTCACAACATTTCCAAATCCAACCCGATAATAATATGTCGTGTCAAAAGTTAAATTATTCAACAAAATGGCATGATCAAATCCAGTGACACTCGACTCTCCATACGAGGTCGTGACTGCTCCAACTCCATACCACTGCGGATTGGATTGTAATTCTTGCTCGCTTTTTCCAATAATTGCCAATGGCTTTCCAACCTTGTTTTCATCATATCCGAACGTATGAAATTGAATGATCATTTCATTAGGATTTTGAGTTAATGCCAAATGAATGTACCTCACCGAGAAATCACTACTTGAGGCTTGCACTCGGTGTTGCTTTACTTTTTCAAGCTGTCTCAGTAATAACGGATGGCGCAAGTCTTTCTCCAATTTCTTCCATGAAGACTCAGAATGATGATTAGATCCGAGGAGTGAGGAAGGCATGTTTGTATGCTCTCTGATGTGGATTGGTATGGTTTGTATTTCCGTTTGTTTAGATTCATGATGATGATGAACAAGTTCAATTTTTGAGTGATGGGGCTGCTGCTGATGTGCTTGCGCAACGAGAGAGCAAAATGATGAACACAACACGGATACAGCAAGAATTGTTGCCAACATGCGGATCCAAACCCCTAGAATGGAACCACTCTGCTTGTTCATTCGTGGTATGTGAGCTTGATAATTGTGAATTGATTTTTTGTTGGTCCGTACTCTTCCATAACAACAAGAAAAGCAAAATTTTGTGGTGTAACAGAGAAAACCAAGAGGAATGAATTGTGAGGTACCCAAGTCGCGTTATGAGTCGTTTCAAACTCGCACACAACGTGTGATAAGGTACACCCTTGTAGTGGAGTTGCTTTCTCAAGTCGATAACCCTGAAAAACGGGCTTTTAGGCCGACGTTTCATGAGCAGAAGTGATTGAAAATTGGAGTAGTGGCTTTCGACTCGAATCAAGGACAAGCTCGCTCGATGCAGGAAATGATCAATTTTATTGTGGGTTGGGGGAATATTTTTTCTTATGGCTCGAACAATTTCAGTTGATAGCATAATTATATTCCATGATTAAGGCTTTCCAGTTAACGGGAAAAGGATCACACAATTTGATACAAAAGATGGCTTTTTATCACAGGCTTGAATCTTTTGTTTCTTTTCGAATTCTTACTTCTTCTCTCCATTTGGAAAAAACTACCAGCACCAATCCCACCACAATGGCAACAGCTCCAGGTAAATTCCAAAGTGAAACTCGTTCTCCTGAAATGAATACAGTCATGAATGTAGTAACTATGGGTGACAAGGTATTATAAATTCCAATCACAGTTGGAGAGGTCAACCCAGCTGCTTTGGATTTTATAATCAAACTCAAAGCTCCATGAATGACAATGGCATACGCTAATCCAATATATGATTGAGCATTCAATTTGTAGAATCGAAAGGAAGGTATATAAAAACATGCAGCAATTAATGGAATGTACAATCCACCAAGATAGGTCCATAAACTTAATGTGACTGTGGGAATTCGTGTGGTCAATTTCTTCAACAACACAATATATAGAGCAAGAGTTAAAGTATTCAGCAGAATTAAGACCATTCCTATCGTGAATGAAAAGGTTTGAATCCATTCCCTTAACGAATTCGAAGAAGTAGTAGTACCATTAGACTCTGGTTTGTCATCACCTTGTTCCGAGTTCGTAGCAGTCAAAGTAGAAACTCCAACCATGGCAATAGCTCCCAAGCATGACATGAAAACTCCCAAAATTTTCACCACTCCTCTCGACTCACGTCTCAATACAATCGAAATGAAACACACCTCAACAGCCACTAACGGTTGTAAAATTCCTGCCATGGTTGCATTGGTAAGATCCAATCCAACAATAAACAAGACGATATTCAATAAATTCATAGATCCACACAGTACCAATCGTTTAAATACTTTCCACGGAGGTGTTTTCATCTTCCACAAACGAAGGATTGGATTTTGAATTCGAGACAAGACACGTCGTGATCGAAATGAAAAGGTTCGATCCACCACCAGAGAAAGAGGTAAAAGAATCAACGTGATGGCAACTGATCTTACCAATGAGAAGATGGCAGGTTGCATGGCTCGAATAGGTTGAGGAGCGAGTACACAAAAACCTCCAAATGTAAGCAATGAGGTCATCATTAATAGATGAGCATAACTTTGGGAATGAAGAAAGTTTTGAAAGGAATGTTTGAATTTTTGGAACCATCGGGAACAAGAAGGAGAGGATTCATGTGAAAGAGAATCATTGGGAGGATGGGAAAAGTCAAGAGAAGTTGTTGGATGACTGGATGAAAGATCTTCTTCTTCTTCGGAGGAGGACGAGATCAAGAGTTGAGTCGTTTGTTGTGAAAGTGAATCAACCATATTCTCTAATAATTCATAATCTCGAGTATGTTCATATGTGGGAATACCTCTTGAATTGGGTTGATAATATTCTGTCAACTCGTACTCTTCACAAGAATAATCTGGTTTTTGTTGTGGACAACCGTTCAGTTCTTTCCCGTGATATGGATCCATTCTCGTTGTTGTTGTTGTTGTTGTGGTAGATTCACTCGATGTGAATGTCTTTTTTCAACTGGTCCTTTCGGTCAAGACTACATAGATATGTGGTTGTTGGCAACACCCAAGACCAAACTGCCAACAGAAAGATTTCCTAACGTGTGTTTCATGGCGAGTTGAGCATTTTCTCAAATAAGAAAGGTGTGAAAGATTTTCAATTTTCGAGATTTGAAAAAGAATGAATTGCTTGCTTTGGTTTTGAACCAACACTGGAGATGAAACTGTGAGATTGCGGACAGTTTTGATGCTCGTGATGAATGTTTGGAATTTTTTGAGCATGTTGGTGTGGACTTGAAAAATTGACAAATAGCCGAAGTGTAAACAAACGTTTTCGTTGCATACCTTTTGAAAGAGCTCACGCGTAGTAAGGGTCATGTCACATCACAATTAAGGGTTTGGTAATAAAGGAATCTTTGATATTTCAGTTCGATCTTTCATAGCGACATCCAAAAAACATTTCAAGAAAACAACAATAGCCATCTTCAAGTGTAAAATATCTTCACTCCTGGAAGCATGTCTCGAACCCATTCGCTGTGAATGCTCGTATATTCACTTCACAACCCATTAATGACCGTTTTGATTTTCACTCATTGATACAACACAGAGAATACAATGTTCACAAGCCCTTCACTTTTTACCTCTCTCAATGTTGATCATCAATGAAACCACTCATGTCTCCCATACATCTTTCGACACTTGTCATTGACCTCTCAATGCATCATCCTTCGCTTCTTGAATTGTCACTCATCACTAAAGAGTCTCACAATGGAAAAAAAGGCACTAAAAAAATTAATTTTTAAAAAAATAAACGCTAAAAAAATGAGCAAAGTCGTTTCATCCTCTCAGCGTCGGTTTTTTCATTCGCATTCGCATCATCAGCAACAACCGCAACCCTCCTTGAATCATTTACAACAGAGTGCGGCAGTGGCCATGATCGGTCTTCAACAATTACAACAAGTGGCTGTTGCTTCTCAGATGAATTCAACCGCCACAACTGCAGTACTTGCTAATCGTCAAAAGGCTTCCCATACATCATCTAAAAATAAAGTACAGATGGAAGAAAAACCAAAGACCAGCAAAACAAAAGAAACAGAGAAGAAATATAATTCTCAGTTGGATAAGGATATTCGGGAGGGAGATTTGATATTTGTAAAATTAGGCAAGTTTTTTTGTATAATGATCATTTTTAGTAATATATCATCCTATTGTATTCTCATTAAATTATAACTTCGGATCTCATAATTAATGTCATGACGATGGACTACCATCATTTTATGATAAATACAACAATTTAGATGGCTGCCCCTATTGGCCAGCAAAGGTTATTTCTCCTCACGCCCCACACATTCCAAAAGCAATACGGGAGGAAATTCTTGAACAAATGGATGAAGAAGATACTAATACAACACTTATTGAATTTTTTGGTGACGACAAATCCAAGTAGTAAGTACAAATATTTTATTGATGAACTGTGCAGTGAGCATAGAAATCCTTCCCTCTACCATTCATGCCTCCATACAATATTTTACAATTACAATTTCAAAATTAATACTCACGGACAATCAACCATTTTTTCAACAAATTCACCTCTCACCAACACTATTCTAGTTACTGTATGGACAAGGTTGTAGAAATTTATACAAAGAATTCTGACGTGATTACAGATAAAATGACAAGAAAAAACAAGAAATTAGCTGAGGCTATGAGACAAGCCTTGTTGTATGCTCAATCAGAAGAACTACTCGACAATAATTCTTTGCAAAATCGAAGACAAAGTTTTTCAGGAAATAATTTAACAATTTCAACTACAAATGACAAAAAGCGAAAAGTGAATCCAGTATCTTCTTCCAATGACAACAAAAAAAAGAAAGTTATTTCTGATGACGAGGATGATGTGACAATATTAATTTCTGACAATGATTCTGATACAATGAGCGACGATAATGAGCACCAAAAGCCTAACAATGATGAAGAAGAAGAGTATTCATTTTCTGATGAAGAAGAGAGAGAAAAAAAGAAAAGCAAACGGAAATCATCGAAACGAAACAAATTCGAGGCCAGTGATAAGAATGCATGCCATTCGTGTGGAAAGAATTACAAAATAACCGTGACATGTTCCAACGATCAATGTGGAAAAACATTTTGCAAAAAGTGCTGTGGAAATCCTAAACTCGACAAGAAATTTTTTGAGGATTGGCTTTGTAGTGATTGCAAAGTTTGTGGTATTTGTGAGAGTGCAACATGTAATTCATCTCCAAATGTTACAGAAACTTCACAAATTGCGAACCGTCTACGTATTTGTTCGAAATGTGACTCTTCTTTTCATATTAATTGTTTGGACAATGAAGGGGCGTTTGTGCTCTACAAGGACATCTTTACTTGCCCCGATTGTACAGAAAAGAAAAGTGAATGGCTTCGAAGACGAGGAGAACACGATTCCACCTTTGAAAATTATTTATTTACTGCCTCTAAAGGAATTTTAGAAAAAGTCACCCTTGATTTTGTTTTGAACAGTCATGACGACGATCACGATGCAGAAGACTCTGATACTGCATCCACCACCAGTGACGAAGATCAATCCGACACAGAAGACAAGCCCATCAAGGGCAATCAGAGAACATCATCCTCCGTCCCATCTCCACCTACCATCCATCATCACGCAATTCCTAACACTGTCGTGACAACCAGTTGCAATTGCTCTTCATTCGTGGATAACAGTTCCACAGATTCGGGCAATACCTCACCGACAACCACTAAGAAATCCCCAAAATCTGGACGAGCCACAAAGAAAAAGTTATGCACACATGAGCAGTACACTCATACTGCGGCCGTTGCAGAGTCTCCAAAAACATCCTCCATTCATTCACATCCTCATACTCACTCTGCGGACATGCCTCATTCCCCACCTCTTCACAAACAAGTATTTGACCAACCAATGACTTTATTGGAAACATCACATCCTCTCACTCCATACATGAAAACAGAATTTGGCTGTAGTGATCGACCACATAATAGTAGTAGTACAAACACTGCCGTTGTTTCACCCTCCTCAGCACTGAACTGCTCTGGAAAGAGTAGAAAAGCGACCAAAGTCAAACCGAGAGGAGGAGGAGGAGATGTCTCCAACTCTTCGGAGAGTAGTGGAAATTTGCATGCTCCATCCAGTGTTTCATCTCCTCTCAAAGAAGATGTTACATCCATCCCAAGTCCAACCTCAATGAGTCCAACCACTACAAGTCCCTCATCGAGTAGCAATGGTGACACACCTTCGCAAGAGCTCATTACCTTATTCATTAAATGTTTTGTGGATGGTTATCAGACAGACTATACCAAGAGAGTGCGTGTATCGAGTCACATTGATATTTCTCAACTGAAATCCATCACCAAGTCCATAGTTCTCAAAATGAAGAAATCGACCAAGTTGGATAATCACAAAATTTATTTGAAGAACATTGACAGACATGGGCATGAAGTTCTTCTTGATTTAGATGAAGATTTCTTTTTGCATGACCGACTCCAAAACAGCGATGTTCTTGTGCTCAAGATGTAGATACCTTTGTAGTCATCTATTCGATCCCACTGTGAATTCAGTGAGAAAAACAATAGATGTTGCACGGAAAATAAAAGAATAGAAGATTGGTAGTACTGTCAAAAACTTTGAGTTTGATAATTGTTGTGCTTGAAAACCAAACTGTTTGCCTGTTTTCCAAGTGTTGTTTGATGATAACGAAAATTCCCTTTTTATTGTTGGTGTTAATTGTGCTTATCGACGGATGAAATTGGAGTACAATAAATCCACTCGGAATTTCACAAGTATGTTATTCAAATAATAATAATAAATTGTTGTTTTGTACTGATAATATTAATTACAATATTAGAATCCTATGAAATCTGCACAATTTGAGAGGAAGGAGGTAGTGAAAGAATGAACGGAAGAATGTGTGTACTAATAAATTGATAAAGTGATTGAAGAGATTGGAGTGTTTGGTGTGTTGTTGTTGCTACTGCTGTTGTTGTAATCAACTCATAAAAATTCAAAATATAATTGCTGATGACCCAATTAATGATGAATATTAAACATTAGCGAACAAAAAAAGCTGATGATGAAACTAATATTGTTTCTCTCTCAATTCTTTCAACTCTTCAGAAGGAGTCAATTCTTGTGGCTTCCTTGTGAGCAATTTTCCTGGTTGATTAAAATCTTGTTCAATAATATGTGCCTTGTATGGATTTCTCTTAATCTTCTTTTGTAACATGTACACTCCGTACAACAATGCTTCAGCTGTTGGTGGGCATCCTGGCACATAGACATCCACAGGAATGATTTGGTCAGCGCCTCTCACCACGTGATAACTAAAGTGATAATAACCGCCTCCGTTTGCACATGATCCCATACTAATCGAATATCTTGGTTCAGCCATTTGATCCCAAACCTTTCTCAAAGCAGGAGCCATCTTGTTAGTCAACGTTCCAGCAATAATCATGGCATCGGATTGTCTAGGAGTAGGACGGAAGAAAATACCATAACGTTCCAAATCGTATCGGGCAGCAGCAACGTGCATCATTTCTACAGCACAACAAGCCAAACCAAAGGTTACAGGCCACATGGAACCTGTTCTGGCCCAAGCAAATAAATCATGAAGAGGAGCTCGTAAGTATTCAACAACGCTCATGATGATGACGAGAATATTTTTTTAATTAAAATGAAATGTTGGGATGATTGGTCTAAAACGTTAGACCTCGTTGAAGGAGAGTTTTATTCTCTAAAAATTTTGGAATGAATTTCGTTTGAATTGAATTCACCCATCCAGTAAGCAAACAACCCTCACATTGGCCTATCAATCTTGAGCTTGATGCAAAATGGAGTTTTATGGATTTCATTTTCAGAATGGAATAAAACAAAAGAAAATGCCTCGATTGGAATTTCCCAACGGAACGATGAAATTTAAATTTGATAAATCATGTCCGTTCTATGCTTCGGATCGAAAGATCTTTAAATCACAAGCAAGTGATCAATTTACAGAGCTGTTTGAACGTTTCAATAATATTGTTATTCTTAAAATTTCGGGAGTGGAAACAACCGAATTACAAACATTAAGAAGAGCCTTGTCCAATCAAGATTCTGAGCTATATTCAGAGTTATATGTTGGGAAGCACTCTCTTTCTCGAGTCTCTATTGATGGATTGATACGGAATTTAAAAACGAAAATTCAGAATTCTATCAGCTCTGTAACCAAACAGTCATCACAGAGTCGTGATCAAGAACTTGTGAAGGCTCTTACACAATTCAAAGAATTATTGGTTGGAGAAATTGCACTATTATTTACAAATTGTGAGAATTATTATACTTTGTGTAATGAGATATCAAAACATGTGTCTTTAAAAAAAGCCAAAGTTGGATCTATCATAAAGGAAAATGTATTTTTCGAAGGAGAGACAGGAGCGCTACCATATATGACCTATATTTTTCTCAATAATAACATTACTACCAGAATTCGAAGAGGACAAGTTGTATTATTGGAAAGGCAGCAAATTCTCACAGCTGGAGAGGTGTGCACTGCTGAAAAAGTCAGACTGTTAGATTTGTTAAAATGGAAAGTCATTCAAGAACGATGTGAACCTTTGTATTTATTTAGTAAGATGGATGCATGTATTTTATCTAATGAAGTATTAGAGCGTGATTATTTTGAGAATTGTGTGGAGGCTGCCAATCAAATGACAGCTCTGTCAATGGAATGTTCACTCGTGAATGAGCTCACCATCGTTGCTGATATTAAGAAGGGAATATTGGATTTGGTAGCACTGGACACAGAAACACAATGTGAAATGCGTTACAAGATACGCAAAGTGATGCCACCACCCGTTATTGATAACCATTGTTATCCTTCAGATTCCTCCAGCGAATCCTCTGAATTTAACGACCTGTTCGATTTATTTTTTTAAATGTTAGATGGCGCTTCATAGCTCTTTGCCATTGAAAAGAACTACTGTAACCTTTCCAATCTTAAAGATTTGAAACTTGATGGATAAATTCAAAGGTTTGACATCACAATGAACAATGTTTTTCTCTAGTATTCATTATCATGAAATATCTTCATAATTTTGAAAATGCTTGCCGTTTATTGCTGAATAGAATGTATACATCTCCTCAATGCCTTACACACTCACATCCTTCTTGATACTGAGGTAATTTGAGATTCATCAATGTACGAGCATCTCCGTATTTGTAATATTCCGTTTGATGAAAGAGAGCTTGGTCAGTTTACAATTGTAAATTGAAAGTCACAATAACAGAACCAAATTTGCGCTACACTGAAGGAAAGTATTAATTCTCAACGAGCATGACTATTTGAAACGCTTTATCCTGGAATTTCTTTTATTTCATTATCATCAATTCCTTTTCCAAGATACCAGTTGCTCACACTTTCTTAATTTCTTCTAAAGAATCCACCAGTAGCATAGGCAATAGCATTCAAATTACGACTTGTCATTTCACGATAAGCCTCTGCATTGCTCACTGAAAAGTGTTCACTTCCGATTGTGAAGGCAATGGTATTCACTGGAGCACGAGCCATCTCTGCATATTCACGAATTGAGTCAGCCAACTTTTCAGCATCCTTGAATTCTCCACGATTTCCTGGGCCACAGCTCAACAAATATACTGTATTATTTCCCATTTGTTGTGAAAGTGCTGGTGTAAAGAGCTTGAGAGCACTCTTCAATGATTCTTCCAAATTGATCGAGCTCGATGAAGTACCACTTGAAGGGAATGGGCTTTTAGCTACAAGTTCAATATTTTGAGGAGTTGCAGGAACGAATTGATCAAACTTGGTGAAAATCTTTTCATGATAGGACACTACATTGAATAAAGTGGTAGCTGGCAATTGCTTTAACATTTGAATCAAGTGGTATTTGGCAAAATCATAACGAGAGACTGATGAGGAATAGGTGAGTTTGGAATACATCATTGAGTCGCTTCTTTCCAGAACAAACAAGACTCTTGAACCGGAAGCAAGGCTGTTATACGCACCCATAGCACAATCATGAAGTTTAACTTCATTCAATAACAAGGAAGCCTTCTCCTTCACGATAGGATCATTGAAAAGAGCCATCAAGACATATTCACGATTCGTTGGTAAATCCACAATATTGGATACCAACAATTCCAACAATTTGAAACGTTCCCAATCACGATCAGAAACACTTTGAATCAATCCGATGGCTTCATTCGATTTCATATCCATCAAACGTTTCAATAAGCTTTCGGTAACGTGCTTACGAACAACACGAGGTTGAGCAGCAGCAACTGCTTGCAATATTTTTAAGGCTTGTTTCAAAGAGAAGGGAAAGGAAGGTGTTAGAATGAATTTTCCAAATTCAGACAACAATTGTTGAGGATTGGTGGTTACAGTTGCAATAAATTCATCAATGGATTTTTCAGAACGGAATGGAGTGGCTGCAACAGCACATGGAAATTCAGAGGAAGAAGTAGCCATGGATGTCATGTCTGCAGCAGGAATGAAAGAGTTGTCTGCTGCTTCCTCTTCTTCGTGAACTTGTTCAGAGTTCCATTCACCTTCTTGAATGATTTCTTTGAGAAGTTGTTTCAAGACATGCATGTCGTGTTGATATCTGCGGGGTTTAGCAGCAGAAGCCGATGAAGTGGTCATGCATGCGAACAACGCAACCAACAACACAGTGGCAATGAATACTTTGAGTGTTGTCATGTGTGAAAAGTGGTTTGTTTTTTTGACAGATAAATTGATGGGAGTTGTTGTTGTCTCTTGTTAAACGAATATTCACGCAGGCCCTAAAACAGACGTTCCTGGTGTTCCATTGTAACATCCAAGTGGTTGTCATTCAATTTGCATGTGGAATAAACTTGAGGTGTTACAGACCACTGCAGTAGGGGAGAACACTCGAGGAACAAGCGTTTAAAATAGGCGCTTAAATTCGGTGCACGATTGAAAATGGCATTTGGTTCTTGAATTCTCCGGAGAAACAGGGCACTACAATTTGAAAATCTATGGTGGTGTGTTTATTTCACACAAGCATGCCTTGAGGACAAATAAATAGTATTTGCTGTCACCTAAACGAATAATAAGGAGGTTAAACAAAATCTAGAGTGAAATGTAATAATGCTTTCCATGACTATTATGAATCTTGGAACAGGTAGAATTGGTGGTCACACACCATTCATACCACACTTTTCTTGTTACATCATGATCACAATTTCTCCACATTTGAACTCCAATGTCTTCTCCCTTTTTGACAATGACTGGAGTTTCAACTGGGAAGAAAATTGGGAACCAGCTAAACATTCCTGAAGAAAAAGTCTCAGGTAAAATACTCATCCATACATCCTTATATAATTGACATTCGAAATAGCCAATGAGACCATGTACCACTGCATTCTGTTGAGATTTGAATCGGAGGGAGACGTATCGATCATTGTTCACAAGTGGAATGTGCAAGTTGTAAGTTTCATTTGTGTCATCCAATGCATTCTCCTTTTCTTTGAGAGCTTCTGTGACTTGAGGATTGGGATGGATAAAGGTGAAACATCGTTGAGGTTTGTCTAGAACAACGCCTCTGTGAACAAGACAAACATAACCAGTCTCAAAGGCAGGTGCTTCAAAAACGGTTGATTTTTGTAAATTTTTCACTTCACTCCAAACCTTGTAACTGCAAAGTGGGCTCAAGTATGAAGTGTAACGTGCAGGTATGGAAATCCCTTCGCCATTCTCTTTCAAGAGACGTTGAGCTCCATCTAAACATTCTGGACTCAATTCATTGTCGCCAAATGAACCTAATAATTCAGAGACCAGTAAGTCTGCCTTCTCAGGAGGATTCCACACACGCATATCTTTTTGAATAATTTCAACAATTGGAATTTCCAAATTTTCACCTGCGTGCGCTTGTGTAAATGTTCGCCAAATGGTCTTTTTGTAGTAGAGGAGATGACTTAGGGCATTAGGATTTTTCTCCACGGCGTACACCAAAACAGGAACTTTAGTGGTTCGAGCTGCTCTCAAAACGGCCTTAACAATTGGACCACGACCAGCTCCCAAGACCATGGCAATGACACGTATGGTTTTGATGTCTTCTTCGCTAGGTGCTTTCTTTTTCTTTGCTTCGTATAGATCGAGGAGAGCCTTCTCTGCAGACTTTTCATAGAGCATGTATTTGATGGGATCTCTCTCGAACACTTCATAGGTTTGACTATCCAAATTATCAATTAAAGGTTGTAAAGGCCTCTGTAAAAAATCTCTAAATGACTTGCTGAACACTTCCACATTAGTTAACATGCAGCTTGTCTCGAAGAGTGACGCAATGGTTCTCTTATAGAGAGTCATGTTTGGACTTGGCTCATTTTCAAAGCCTGCTGCGCTCAAAACAAATTGAATGTCGTATTTAAATGTTTTTGCAAGGAATTGAGCGACTTCATCATGGAGAAATGGAGTGGCATTGTTTACAGGCCTTGAAAAGAGATCCAAATTCAATATTATTGTTCTTACATTTTCTGCAATCCAAACAGAAAGGGATGTCACTGTAGAATTTTCAGCTCCAAATGTTTGCTTTTCAAATGCATTCCACAGTGTGTCCTGTGGTGCATATTGCTCGGGTGTGACACCTGTATTTGTTTTCTTCTTCTTCTTGTCACTTTCTCCATGTTGTTGACTTGATTGTTTGAGCGATAAGATTAACTCTTCCACGTCCTTATTTTTTAAATCCAAAACTGGAATCAGTAAAGTATGACTATTGCACATGGTTCTCACTAAATTCCACAAGTAATAATTATTAGCACTAAATCGTATCCATATGGCGGTATTTCCCATGGTCGGAAGTATGAGATTAATAAATTGAGCTAGTGCCATTGCCATTTCCTTATTTTGAGGTTCTGGGAAGAGAACGGCAGGAATGCATAAATGTGTAGCCCATTGCAATTCCTGTTGAAGAATGAGCTTGGCAGCTTGAGCTTGAATATGAATTTGTGAGAGAGTACCTGCAGTGGATGGAATGGCAAAGGGTGCAAGCTGTTGTTTGTTCTGCTTGCTTGAGGAGGTCTTTTTTGATGAAGTATTATCAAGAGGTGTTGATGATGATGGGATCGTACCAGAAGCACTGTATTCATCTAATCCAGGGACATCATAGGGCTTATCGGAGCACAGTAGCTTTTTGTTAGTGGGTGAATAAATTCCAAAGGCTGCCTGGAAAGCTGCTTCGTCGACCTTTCCGACCATGCAATGAGACCAATCAGTCGTACGAAATAGATATTGTCGTGATGAAACGTTGTGTTTTTGACAAATTTGCCTCAAATCCAAGAGATGACTCGTACTACTATTGGGTACATTGGATGATTGAAGAGTTGCTGTGTTGTTGTTGTTGGGCGTATTGGATGTTCTGCTAGCCTTGTTTTGTAAATTTTGCTGCTGTTGATGATGTACGGAAATGTCCATCAAGAGAAAATCCAATCCGAATTCATTCACGACCGAAATTCCTTCTTCCACACTATCCACATGCAATTTACTGATATTATTGTTTTTTGCCATCATCATGTTATTTGGATTCATTAATTTCAAGGATGATGTTGAATGAAATTCCAATCCCATGAATGGTGGTGTGGTTGTTTCATTACTCAAAGTGTTGGTAATGGTATCCACAATGGGATCGCTCAAATCATCCATGTTGTTGTTGGTGAATATTATTATATGGTTTCAAAATCGGAAGAATATCTTGAAAAACGAGGAGAAATGCTGAGGATGAACACAAGTGCAAAATTGATAGACTGTCTTGCTAAATTTTTTTCTTCAGTCAACTTTTTTATTGAGTGAACATGCTCCGAAAGAGGTGACTTGAGTGTGATCGACTGTTCAAGATTTTATCCTTGAAGATCGTCTCAGGAATGTTTCAGTATGATTAGAAGTGGCTTCATCCTCATATGATGAATCCTCTTGGAAGAACATGAATCATCCAAGTCAAACTCATCCTCATCGGAAATGATCATGTCAGAAGTATCCATGAAAAAGTAGACAAAGTATAGATCCTGTCTTTGGATAGCCGATGTTCCAAGTCAATTCTTCCATCACAAGCTTTCCTGACTTGGACTTTCTTTGAGCTGGTTCAACCAACAGCAACGAGTGTGTCAGCTTTCTCACGTGCAGTTTTTGGTTTGGAATCAGCTGAAGACCCTTAAAGCTTTCCTTTCCATCAAACATCATTTCAACCAATGTACAAACATTCAGGATGCTGTTAAACGCAATGGTTATACATTGAAATATGCAGATGATACAGAAATAGTGATGGAAGCAGTGAAAAACAGAGATGAGAAATGATAAACATGTTGTGTGGGCTGCTTCTAAAAAAGATGCTAACTTATTTGATTAACAACTTGCATCAGAAGCATTGAGAACATTAGATAAGGAAATAATAGAGGCAGCCAACACTTCGCAAAACACATCTGAACAATTAAGGCAGGATAAGGATGTTATCACGATAGCAGTAGTACTCTGTTCTAATTATTTTTATCCAGGGAATTTTTAATGATAGAGAATTCATGATGGAACTAAGTGAAAGCTTTGTTTTCGCAAGGTCTCAAGTTATTCATGGAGACATGATCACTCTGTAATTGAACCTTTCAGTTGTCAACCAAAAGATTAGTTCAAAAAAATGACTTGTTGTGGAGACGATCAAACAACAGCTGCAACCTTCGGTCTCGTTCTATTATCATTCATTCTTCCTCCATTGGCTGTCTACATCAGCTTCTACGTTTCTCCAAATAGCGACATGGATTGGGATGATTCTGCCTACATGGGAAGACACATTTGGTTCTGTATCACTCTCGGAGCAACCATTTGTGGATATTTACCTGGAGTGTGCATTGCATTGTTTTTTGTTATGACTAATGGACCTTGTTGTGATAAAAAGGAGTAGCAAACTCGGAAACATGCAAAGAAATAAAGTTGTCCAAGTGGCACATCAGAGAGTTTTGTCATCCATGTCAAAATTGTTGGGGATGGAAAAATGCTGGATTGGATGTGAGTCAAGAAGGGTATTGTCACCGTGTTGTTTGTGAAAAGTTTGGAATGGAGCACACAGGAATTTGACAGAGAGATTATTTTCCCACTTCCCAAAAATACCATATCGTCAACCAATCGAATGGGATTCATTGCAGTTTTAATTTTGACTTGTAGATATTTAATAAAAGACTTTAAGATTTGTGAAAATGACAATTCACTATTTGTGCCTTTTAATAATCAATTTCAAAAACATTGATACAATGTTCCAGAATTCTGGCATGACAAAAATATAAAACCACTCCAGACGTAAGGTCAGCATTCAGTTGTTGATATTTATGATGATCGAATAGGTAAATAGCAAACATTACCGACCAAAAGAAAAATTTTAATGGGGAGCAGTGGGAATCGAACCCACGGCCTCCTGCACCCAAAGCAGGAATCATACCACTAGACCATGCTCCCTTGTGATATTTAAGAATTTCATTTAGCAAAGTAGTAAAACGACTTCCGTCCCTTGGTGGTCAGTAAGCCCGCTACAGCAATTGAGCTAAATTATCTAGATTCTACTTTTACTTGCTTGTATTTATTACAAGAAATCAACTATTCTGAAAGTGCCATTACAGACATAGCTCACAGGTCCAACCATGTTGACCAGTGTCTCAGACAGACCTTGTTGTTTCTTTCGATCATATTTGAAATATAAATCTCCTCCATTGAGCTGCACTTGCACCGTGCACATGAGAGGTGGAGATTCTGTGTCATTATCGCTCTGTTCAGCAGTGTCGTGTCGTCGTCCATAGAATTTCCTTAAATAGACAAGTTGTGAAACAGCAAATGCTCCAGTACCACAAGCATTAGTTTCACCACTTCCTCTTTCCCACTACGTATTTGTTAAGAATCATCATAATTTGAAAGTAGGGTCAGATTTTGTTTCACATTAGAATCATTGTTTTACGGTTGTTTTTAACAAACTTACTGTTCTCTGTCTCACTCTCAACACGCAATTGGATTCCAGCATGGATAAAATACTAGTCGATTCTATTTCAGCTGTTTCATAATTATTCAATTCTGACGAGGGAGAGATTAGTTCAATAAACTCGACATTGGTTCTCTGAGGAAATATTTCTCGATCATTTTCAATGACAGGTCCAACAAGGGTTAATGGAAATTGATCGACATCCTTCTTCCATACATGATGCTCATCAACATTGTCATTTTGTGAATTCCTTTCTAAATTTAAAATTTCATTCACAAAGCAAATAGCATGAGGATTTGGAACTAAGAGGCAATACAATGGAATTTTCAATACCGGAATATTTTCTTGTTCATACGTATATGAATAGAGAACCTTTCGAATGAGTCCTTCTTCTTGCTTGACGAGAGAAACTTCCATGAATGGGTTTTCAAAATCTGAGGCCATGTCAAAATTGGATGCTTTGGTCTGTAATGGTCCCATTTCAATTTCAACCCATAACGAATTGGTGTGTGAATTCGTGAATGGACTTTGTAACTTCTTGTTTCGTTCGTCTTCCACTCCAGCATAACAAATACAATCATAGACTTTTCTTCCTCGATTACTTTGAACGCGAATACAATATCCATATTGACACGATGGTGAAACAGAGGAAGAATCTTCTGAGCTTGTGTTCAAATGATTCTTTTGTGAAATTGGAATTTTTTCAATTTTTTTCATTTCAATCAAACGATCACACGCATACTGAGCGACACATCTCAAACCATTTCCACACATTTCGCCGCTAGATCCATCCGAGTTGTACATTTCCATTTGACAATGAATAGTGCCGTGTTGAGAGAAATTGGAATCTTTTTCTAACAATTCCAAATTTGGTTTCGTTATGAAAATCACACCATCGGCACCAATTCCAAAATTTCGATGACATAATTTCTGAATGATATTCTCAATTGTGTGATTTTCATTACGACCATATAAATTTTCAATATATTTCCGAAAATCATTTTCAATTGGATTGGAATGACCATTTCCGAAACAACAATCCATGTACAAATAATCATTTCCAAGTCCATGCATTTTGCAAAATGAAAACAAATCATTGTTGAGAAGTGATGATGAATATTGTTGAGCCATTTTTTTTTGTAGACCTTGACACAAGTGTTTGGCAGTTGCTTGTGAGGTCTCTAATCTTTGAAATAGTTTCATATTGAAATTCATTGAAATAATTATTATAATAAATAATATTTAATTTTATTATAATACAAGAATTTACTTTTTAGAATTTTCATAAATAAAATCAAGAACTCCCTTGGCAGTCATTGGGCCGTCATGAGTAATTGGATTCTTGAGATTGCCATCTTTGAATAAATAAATAGTTGGGAATCCTTCTAAATTCAATCGATTGGATAAAGATTCATACTTGTCACCATCTACTTTGGCAATTTTGACATCTGTTCTTTTAGATTCGGAAACAACCTTTCCGAGTTTGCCCAAAGACTTGGAGAAGGCTTGACAATGTCCACACCACTACACATTTAGTTTATCACAAATTTTCCAAACGAAAAAAACAATGATAAAAATTAATAATGATTACAATAAATAATAATAACAAGGATCATGAATGAAATTAACAACAAGATAATAACAAATCAAACACTACATACTGGTGCATAAAATTCTACAAGGACATACTTGTTACTCTTGATGAATGTATCAAAATTTTGATCGGTTAACTCCGCGACTCCAGGCATCACGTCCTCAGGTTTTCCTCCGAGAATTGATTGTGCAAAGAGAAGGGAGCATACTAAAAAGCAAAAAACAATCAGAGTTGTTGTTGTTGATTTCATTCCGAGAGAGTTTAAACTAGAGTGTTATTGTATTTTTTTGATTACTGCCACTGGAGAACACGTTTTTGGTCTGCCACTTGTCAGTTAAAACATTACAAAAAACACAATAGGAAATTGAACAGAAATAATTCATGTCAACTATTTGACTGTTTTTAGTTTGTTTGAAAGTCCAATATTAATCTCTTCATCTGTGCCCTTAAAAGTGATCATATTCTTCCCACTTGGAGTACCGTTCGAAATACTGTCCCGATGACGGCTGACTGCAATTAATGAGAGAATAAACATCAAAAAAGAATGCAAGATCAAGTGCTGGAAGAAATCGGTGATTCACACAGCAACACAAATCCGCTACAGAGGCCACCCAAGACGGAAAACCACATGATCTTAGAGCGGTTCCAATAGATTTGTTAACCTTATAGCAGCAACATGAAGTCATGCACCAACAACAACAAATACCGTAACAGTTACATGGACTTAAATAAGGCACAGCACAACATTTTTCAACACAGCACTTGTCCAAGGTACCAATTCCTGCAGTAACATGAAATAATCGCTTATCACTTGGTCGAGTGTGAGTCATGTTGGAGACGCTCATGTGCGGATACATGGGAAGAGTGAATATATTGTGTTTCATTTTGGCAGTGGTTCGATCAAATTCTAGAGTTTGAAATGTAAATGTCAATACTTGATCGTTCTCTGTACATGTTCGCTCGATTTGTATTGCATCATCTTTGCCAATTCCAAATTGTGTGAAATACTTCTCTCGCCACTCGTCAGATATTAAAAGTTCGGAATGATAAATGTGTTGAAGGGCTAGACGAACAAATGGTATTCTCTCTTTGTCGTTCATGGTATCGAAAGAGATTAAATTAAAATATTCAATCATGGCAAGCGGGCCAATTGCTTTTTTTTCATAATTACTGTTCTTGATAGGTGGTAAAGCAATTTTCTTATTCATAACCTGTCTTCGATATCTGCAAATAATATTGTGGTGAAGAGTGAAATATTTGTAGATTTTTGGAATGTCGTCAACTTGTTTCAGGAGTCCATTAAGGTAATTCATTTCCGAGTGGCCATAGACTGATTTCAAAGGAATTTCATACTTTTCCATAATCGGTATTAATCGAAAATAAAAGAAGACATATAGACAAATTTTTGGTATGTTGCTGAGCTTGGCCTCTACAGAAGAGTCATCTTCCCAAAGGTTTAGCTTTCGAAAGCTAAATTTTTGGCCCCAATCTTCAATTACATGTCCAAGTCGTAGGTCAATAATGTATGGATCCATTATTTTGTAAAACGTATAGTAATAGGTCCTGTTTGTCAAGCGAATAATGGACTCTCTTGGAATTCCTCTCATAGATTCACGTTCTCCAGTGATATTGATGTGCAGAATAAACTTTTTAAATACCCTGAATGGATTCACAGTCATCTTCTTGGTGTTAATAAATGCAGGATATTGATTGCGCCATAGTTTCAACCTGTCCTTGATGGTGACATGCTGTCTCATCAGTTGTTGTCTCTCCTCTTCCGTTGTTGCATAATACTGCATGTTGATCGGCTCCTTTTTCAATTCTTCTCCATTGAGCTGTGAGACGTTTTCATCCTTTGAGTCGTGCTGTGTGGATTCATAAATATTATCCAAGGACACCATAAGAGCTTCCGACTGTTCCCAATCAATAACAACCTCAACTTCATACTCTCCAATTTTTTTGCAATTATGCACTCCAAACAATTCCATGAATTGTTCAAGCAAGATCGAGGGATTCTCTAGCTCTTCTTCGTCGTTATCGATCATACTTTGAGTATCATCCACAGTTCCAAAAGCAACATGCATGTAAACTCTTGGTAAATATAAATTTTCCATCTTCTCATGGATTCTTTTGTATGAATACATCATTGTGATGGTATTTTCTTCATGGGTGGTCATGACTTTACTGTCCAACGTATCCCAACCACCCGACAATATTAGAAATAAATTTCTGCACGAATATTTGAGAGATTCAATTTCGCTTGCTCCTGTACAATAGCTCAACACCAATTCCAACGTATCGGGATCCAAATCATAGAGTTTAGGCCGAGTGAGAGATTGTTCTTGATCGGTACCTAGCATTTTTTTATGAACTCGACAAGAGCACCAATACACTTGATCGATCCTTGGTTGTATTCATGAAGATCATCACTTGAAAGCGTTGAGTACATGAGCTCGCAATAGTACTCTTTTTCTTGAACGCTCTCGAAATCTGGTTGCATTTGTGGTGTCAAAATGTTTCAAACGTTTTTTCAACTCAATTAAAAATTGGTTTTTGTCATTCTTCCCACAATTCTACGGTGACTATTTGGACAGAATCATCCTCTTCGAATTTACATCTCACATTGGCATTATCAATTCGAAAACCATACAACTTGTCATCTCGTCTTTTGCGCATGTAGACTGGTCTTGGATCGCTTTGCAGAACTTGAATAATGGCTTTTTTCATAGAATCTACATTATCATAAAAACGTAGCTTTGGTAACAGCTGTTCGAGTTCTGTTACTGCCTGTTGAGAAAATGAAATTTTGGACTCATCAATTTTTTGCACAAATGTGTCCTCTTGGATCCATTCTGGAACTGTAGTTTCAGTGTTGGGCAAGCTGTCATACCTTGAAATGTATGGCTTAATATCAATGACTGGTGTGCCATCGATAAGATCAGCTCCAGATAAGTACACTAATTTTCCTTCAATTTTGTCAATTTTTGCAACGCTCATTCCAATGCCATTGGGTCTGTGCGGAGATCGAGTGGCATATATTCCTACCTTGCCATTGCCGTTCATTCTTGGAGGTCTAATTTTCACACGGTCGTTGCTTTCCAAAGAGTTTTCATGAAATACAAATATAAGCCAACAGTGACTGAATTTTTCCAAACCATCGAGAGCCATGTCTCCTTGAGGTATAGTAACTTCAAGAATTCCCTTACTTGCATCTACTAAACCAAATTGTCTCGGACATCCATTCTTTGTAGGAAATACGGAGTGAAAGACGCCAATGGATTTCATGTTGAAAGAATAAGTTTTGGTGTGGCTATCATAATTAGAAATGACCTCATTGTGGAGGCTTGACTCAGGATTGGAGCTGATACTGTTGCTGCCAGTTGTCACATTGTCTGTACTGCTCACTGATTCCTTAATTTTAGAAGAAATTGTTTTTCTATTTAACTTTCCAGCATAATGAGACGGTATATATCCCACATAAACTCTGGTCAATTCTTCTTCTTCGCTTGAAAGGGTAGGATTGGCATTAGATGATTCGCTTTCTGTAGAAATAACGTCAGATATTTGACGTTTCACTCCCTTCTTTTTCTGCTGTTGTGAGAGCCACAAAGAAGAAGCCACTACCACCAGACGCCATTCTCCCTTTTCCAATTCTTCAATTGAGAATATTTTCGTTCCCTTATCTAAAATCAGCAACACGTTATCTTTGCTCTCATCGTTATTCACGTGCTCGAGAATAGGTTTGTTTGTATGTTCATGCTTTTGCTGAAGAAATGAAGGTTCTATAGAACTATTTTCTGAATTGGTTGGAATACTTCTATACAGCACACAAGAAGGCTTTTGGATGACATGACTGGGTTCAAGTTCTTTTTCAATGTCTTTTTCAAACTCCGATACATTTTCAATAGTTTGAAATTCGTATTTATTTTCTGTATGCTGATTCGTCATTTCTATTTTGCTCATAGTAGTATTGTTGTTATATTCGTAAATAATTTTGAATAAATTCAAATTTGGAAAATATTGAACAATTTTCATGCCTGATGTCGTGCTACCCGAGAGACTGCCTGACGATGATGATGAACTCCCAGTCATCCCCATGATCCCCATGGATGGCAAGGATGCCGTTGTTAACATCTTATTGGAAGAGTAGGTTCGGAGCAACCGAAAAAACAGCCTTGATGATGACGACATTTTTTTGCCGAACCTTGTTCACTTTTTCCTGACCTGCAGAGATTGGAAATTGCATTCTTGATAGTAAATCAATACCTGAGTTATTTGAGCTTAATTCAATCTTGTACATGATCGCTAAGATTATACTATTTACTTGTGTTGTTCAAATACGAATTCAGATACTTGTGCCTCTTTTTCTCGTATTCCTCTTCGTCGAAATATTCAGAGGTCATGGATTTTCTTTCGTGCGCCAGTTGGTGATTCTTGGAGAGAAGTGCAATCAATTTCAAGTAATTCTTCAATTTGGGTGTCTTGTTCACACTCGTGGTTTCTTGTGTCAGCTGATCCATGGTAATATTGGGATTTTCTCGAATTTTGTGTTCAATCAATAATTCCTTCTTACGTGCTTTCTTTTTTAACATGTCAATAAAAACATTAATAATGGGATCTGAATGATGGGCATCCAATTTTAACAATCCTGCATATGAGTTAAATCCTGGATTGTGAGGTTGATCCATCCGAACATAGTTCAATAAGGCAAATATTACTGTCTTCAAAGTGCTGATAATACCTGCAACGATGAAACCAAATACATAGTTGACAGTAATGAAAAGAACATCGAACACGCTGAAGAGTGCGTTATGAATGAGCCAAGTACCCTTTTTACGAAGGAATACTAATTTCAAAATAATGGCCAACACTACAGTTGTGATTTTTGTTCCCAAAAATGTAAAGATGTTCAAAATGAGAGGTAAATTCTCAACCACAAAGAAGCTCTTAAAGAAGGCCTCAATCATTGGACCTATGGCTTGTCCCAACACTGATAGCATGAAAATAATAAGCCCAATAATGATCAAGACAATATAAATGATGGCAAAATAAACTACAGTGGCAAGGGCAAAGTGAGCCGATTGAAGACCTGGATAATTGGAAGCATTAATGATCGAGTACGACGAAAGGTTGAAAGGTAGCTTGCCTTTTCTGTAACTTTGAATCTAATTTTCAAAATTGTTTGTTCATGCTCGCTCTCCAAGAAAAATCCTCACAAAATATGTGAAATTACTTACATGACGTTTGTAATTGCGTAAAATTAAAATAATAATCACCACAATTACAATAAAGGTCAATATTTCAGCAATAAAAAAATTAACCTCAATCAAATCTACCACTCGCATCAGAGCACTTGAGACACCTGTTTGACAGGTATCAAATTTTTCAAAGTCAATAATTTGTGGAAAGCAAAACAATAACACGCTAATAATGAAGAGAATATTAAATGCAGAATAGCCAACATGGAGAGACAAGGCAGCAAAGGTTGTCAAAATTAAAACCACAATTAGTACGGAAGAGGAGAGTCCAATAATTAATCGTGATGGGAAAAAGAAAGAAGAAAAACCTCCTTTCATGCTTTGTAGCTTCTTTTTGATCCCTATTATTATGATTCGTTGTGCAATTCATGGATGAGTGTGAATTGATGGTTAAAGGATGGAGAGGCAATGATTGTCTATTATAATTGTTCTTTTTAAATAACTTCAACTTACTAATCCTCAAAGCACTCAAAGAGTAACGAATTTTCATCCAATACACGACAAAGAATTTCACAATTAATTTCTTGTCGCTTTCTCTCCAATATGCTTCAATTTTCTCATTAATTTCATTTTCAATATCATCAACTTCTAAACTTGTGGAGAGGGATGAACGAGTAGCTGTCAACGACGACGAATAAGAACCACTCTCGGAAAAGAAGTGTTTTCTGTTTCTCTGTCTCTTGGTATTTGAAAATAAGTTTCTCACATATCCATAAAATCGCTTCAAACGAAGTTCATAAAAAGAGAAATATTGCAAATGTTTTCTGCCTGTGGCATGATGAACTATGGCTGCTATAAAAGGTACAGCCAATAAAAAGATCAATAGAAATGCTAAAATCCATTCTACGACTAAATATGCCTCTACGAAATTAAATTGAGATGTTTGAATATTGTGCTTCATAGTTCGAGCTGATTCATTAAGAAATTGAAAAAATTGACTCTGTGAAGCTAGGATGGCACTGGCATTCATTAATCGAAATTGAGTCTCACCAGGACTAAGGAATGGATAGGGTTTGACATTTGGCACAATATCAAATAGATTTGTCTTGTAACATGAAATACTCCATGCATTGAGAGAAACATCTATGGCAACTGCAATGGCAATGAATATGAGAGCAGGTAATCGTTTCTTGAAATTCAGAGAAGTCACCGAATTTAAAAACGAAACAGACCAAAACATGCCAGACAATGCTAAAACTGTATAAACAGCTCTATGGTTCATTACATGTCAAGTGGTGAAAATTTTCGTCATTGTACGAAATCGAGTTCAATAAAATTTTTTTACGAGCATTCACAGAAAGCAACCATTTTCATCATATGAGTACAACATGTCACAATCATACCACAAATAATATGCCTCACACTTACTTGAACGTACTAAATCCACCAAAAAGCATTTCTCTAAAATCACATTTCAGTATGATTGCATCCATTCTTTCGTCACTGAAAATCAAAAACACTTTTGTCAAATATATTGCTTCAAAATATAATCTCGCAAATAAGGCCCACACTACAAATCTAAAAAACACATTTTCATTTGATAAATCCACCATTCCAATTCGAGGATCACAAGAAATGGCATTTCTCGATTTCACACATTTCGGAAAACAGACACAACACATGTTAAATTTTTCTTTTCGTTTTTTACGTTGCCGAATATAGTCTTTAACTCGATAATCAAGAATTTCATCATCGTCTATGAATTGTCGATCGTGTCCGATCTGCTTTTGATGAAAAGTAATATCATGATGATCCATTTCTTGATATTGTTGATAGGATGACGATGGTTCATAATTATGATCCATGTGGGCAGAAGTATTTTCTGTTGTTGTTGTTGCTGCTGCTGCTGTATAATAGAACGGTTGATGTTTGAACTGACTATTTCCCCGAGTGGTATTTTGTGTTTCTGTGGTGGTGGTATCCGGAAGCATTTGTTGTTGCTGGTTTTGTTGTTGCTGAGAAAGATCAGCCACCAATTTCATCTCTTCTTCTTCCTCAACATGTTGCAACCATGGAGTCAGCTCTGACTCTTTTGGCATCCCGATCGTGTGTTTCAGAGCTCTGGAGGGAACAACGTGCTCAGTTGTGTTTTTTTTTCAAAGTTTTTTTTCGCTTCGAATTTAAATGAATTTGCATTGTACTGGAAAATCAAATCGAAATATTTCATGTAACCTGGAATCTGAAATCGAGTCTCGAGTACGATCTGCAGTTTTGATGTAGCATGCTGAGAGGTTTGAAAATCCTAGTAGTAGTGATGTCAGTATATTTACGGTAAACCCTTTTGTTCGGAGTAACCTTTGATTTCGCGAGTTCACTGATCCCTCATCAACCAAGGGCGTTCTCATTCCCAACCATGAATGCACATGGCTTCTGCCATTGACTCCTTTCATCATCAAAAAGAATACGAAACACGAACCAAATGTTCCTCTTTACAAGTAAATCGACATCACCACAAGAACAACCACCACTTCCATGCCACAAGATTTTACTTCTCGGAACTTTGGAGAGTGGAAAAAGTAGGTTCAGCTCTCATGATGTTCTGTTCATTCTAAATAATATTCGAAAATTTAATTTCCAATGTATGCATTCATAATTACGATCTGTTGTTGATGCATCATCATCATGATTGCTTCATACAACTGATTCCAAAATTTGATCACTCCTCTCATGCAACTGAACAGGTACCATCTTTAAGCAGATTCCTCTCATCTTTGGAGATGGTTTTTCCATGGAAGCGAGGAGGAATGTGAAACCATGGATATTGAGCAGTGTCATTGACAATATGAGAATTCTCATTCAAGGAATGAAAACTCTCAATCTTTTCTTTTCCAACGAAGAGAATATACAACGTGAGAAGAAGATTTTAGAGTTGAACTATTATGAATGTTGGACAATATACGAGGTTTGGAATGACCAATTAGTTCAAGATATTTTCGAATTGTTGAAAGAACCTGCCATTGTTCAAGTTCTTTCAAAAAGAAATGAATTTCAAATTCATGATTCTGCAACTTACTTTTTTGAACATTTAAATCGAATTTCAATGAAGGATTATGTTCCATCTGATGAAGATATGATTCGAGTTAGAATCAAGTCAACTGGTTTTGCCGATCAGAATTTCACGATCAATACTCAATCGTTGTGCTTGATGGATGTGGGAGGAGCAAGAAATGAAAGAAAAAAGTGGCAGTTACATGTCAATGTGTGTGAACATATCATTTATTGTTGCTCATTGAGTGAATTCGATCAACTGTGTTATGAAGACGATAGTACAAATCGAATGAAAGAAAGTTTGTCTGCATTTGAACATGTCCTCACAAATATATTGACACCCACTCAACCACATCATGTGTATTTAGTGTTTACAAAATTGGACATTTTTGAACACAAGATTAAGAATGGATCTCGTTTAGCTGATACTTTTGAGGAATACAAAGGTCCAGAGAAAGATCCAATGGCAGCTTTAGATTTCATCACTGAAATGTATTTAGCAAAAGATGTTCTCAAGAGAGTGAAAGAAGTGTTTTATGTGAACGCTTTGGATTCCAACAACGTCAAACAAACCATTCAACAAATTGCAAAGCATATTTGAAAGTAAATACTGATCAACTTCTGACACTTCTAGGTAACTCTCTGCTTCTGTCGATTAAATTAACTCTCGTAATGCCTTATTTTCAGAAAGCGGTCACGTTTGATTACTAACCCATCACATGCATTGTTGAAAACGTTTCTCGTTTTTCAAATTGAAAAAACAATTTAGATCACCCCAACCATGCAAATCTACATCAAACACCTCTCAGGAAGGACCATCTCCATAGAATGTGATATGAACGATACTATTGGAAGGATCAAAGAAAAAACAAGTTGAAAACATTCCTCCAGCTCAACAACAATTGATATTTGGATCGAAATTTCTTGCTGATGACCAACGGACCCTTTCCGACTACAATATTGTCAAAGTGAATTCCACAATTGGACTCTTGATGGCCATGAAAATGATTTGAATCATGTTCAAGACTATTCACAAGTTTATGGAACTTTTGAACAACCTCATCAATGATTGTGTGAATATTCATATGATCATCAGATGAACCATACTTGTGTGAAAATGAAGAATATTTAATGATCATGTTTTTTAAATATACGAGAGAAATGAACAATGCAACATGTTTCTCAAGAAATAGCTCACTGTTCTTATTAATTTACAAAACCATACATTTACCACTTCCAGAGCTTTGTTTCTTTCCACCCTTCTTTTCTTCTTGTGGTGGTTCCAAAACAACAGCAATACACTTGTTGAAAATATCACGCAATCCATCTTGAGTTCTTGCAGAACATTCTCCAAAATCAGCAGCACCAACATCTTGTTTCATGGATTCTCCTTCCTTAAAGGTAATTGGTTTTTGATCCTTCTCTTCGAGAATTTTGATGAATTCTGGATCGTCACGGAGATCTTTCTTTGTACCAACGAGAACGATGGGTGTGTCTGGACAGTGATGTCTAACTTCTGGAACCCATTTGCTTTTAATGTTTTCCAATGAACTTGGATTGACAATGGAATAACTGTTGAATTTTCAAAATGAAGAATTTGGATTTGATTCGATTTGATTCGATTCGGTTCGATTAGGTTCGATTCGGTTCGGTTCGGTTCGGGTTGGATTCGAAATAAATGTCAACAAATTTGTTGTTGTTGTTATTGTTGAATAATGACGATGGACAATTTTAAATACTAATACTACTTACCAAGCCAAGAATACGTTAGTATCAGGATAGGAAAGAGGTCTCAAACGGTCATAACTGTTTTCCAATGATGATTATTAGACCATCACATGCCACTTGTCAATAAAAGATTCACATGTCAACAAACACTTACTCTTCTTGACCAGCTGTATCCCACAAACCCAATGAGACGTTAATTTCCTTATATTTGACGTTGGCATTGTAGTTATCGAAAACAGTTGGAACGTAATCCTCTGGGAATGTCTATTGTTGTCAAGATGATCAGAATGAATTCAAAAAGTTGAAAAGTTTGTTGTTGTTGTTGTTGCAAAGGATATTTGAGAGTTGTTATTATTATTGTTGATAGTGATTGGAGGGATATCGGGGAAAGACACGAGGATTCGAATCGTTTGGAAGATGATGATGTGAAGGAAAGAGTAGTAAGAACACAAAGTGTCAAAAGTCATCATGCGCAACAAGAAGAATACCATAGATTGAATTCATCATTATCGTCATCAATGATAAACTAATTTCCACATTTTAAACACTTACATTTGATGCAAATGAAATCAACAAACAAGTCTTTCCCACAGCACCGTCACCAACGACTACACATTTAATTGATTCATCCATGATTGTTGTTGTTTTTGTTTATCTAGTGTTGTAAAGGAAAAAGGAAGAAGGAACACAAGAGATATTGAGTTGGAGTGCCCTTGCGAAGTGTGAGCGTTACTTACTCTGTGATGTGTTTGTATTTTTTTGATGGCTGACAGGACGACCATTTTGTTTGTATGTGACAGGTTCGATGGGGTTGTCTTTGGGTTACAAAGGAACACAGTACTTGGTAGAGTTCCTTTTTCAAGACAAAATCATTACCCAGAATTTTTCAATTCGACCGATTATTATTATTAAGGAACTTTTTCAATAATTATTGTTAAACTTATGTACAATAAATTTACAAAGAATTCTCCTCTTACTGCCATTCCAGAACAAAACTAAATGAAAAGTTTTGTTTCAATAATTTGGAGAACTTTTTCGAAATTTCTTGAATGTGTTTCATTCCAATTTGGCACTGTGTCATGTCCAATTCTGTTAAATTTTGAATGAAGGGGGAGAACTGTGAACTCAAGAGTGCTTGAGCTCCTTCATTGCCGAGTGCATTGTTAGAAATGTTGAGAGAAGTGAGTTTGGGAAAGTGATGCAGATTGGTGCAGAGGATTTCCATGCCTTGAGGATCAAGGTTTGTGTTGGATAGGTTGAGTTGTTGTAAATTCTGGAACTGTTCACTTGTGGCAAGTTGAGAAATTCCTTCAAATCCAATAAGGGTGTTTTCTGCAAGATTCAAACATGTTAAATTTTGTAAAAAGAGAGTTTTGGAAAGGATCTCCATTCCTACGGAATTGATGAAATTGAAACTTAAATCTAAATCGGTTAAAGTTGACATGTTCTGAGAGTTTGACAGATGGGTCACTGCTTCATTCAATACCACTGTTGATCCCAGTTTGAGAGTGGTGAGCTTCTTTAAAAAGTCAGAGCAACAAACTAATTTCACACCTTCATCTCCAATACTACATTTTGTGAGATTTAAATATGTCAAGTGTTGAAAATTGGGTGATGCTGTCAAATGGTTCAATGCTCGAAGTCCAATGTTGGTATAGGAAAGGTCTAAAAATGTTAAATGATGCATCACCTTGCTCATTGCTAAATGCTTCATTCCTTCCTCTTCAATGGATGTATTACCACTAACAATCAATGTTTGTAATTGGCCAAATCGCGATGCAATGAATTGCAAGGTAACTGGACCAATTTTGTTTTGACTCAAATCCAATTCTGTCGCTTGATCGAACCATCCTCTTGGAACATTCTCAAACACTTCTTCCATTCCCTCATCTTCCAATTCATTGTTCCTTAAACATAATTTTCTTAATTTTGACCTCTGACATGCATTTCTTTTCTCCACATGACTCGACCACAACAACAATAACTCTTTCCATCCCTCATTATACAGTCCATTCGAGTTCAAATTCAATTCTGTTAAATATTCAAAAAACTCTGCACATTCACCAATAAGTTTCACTCCGTCCATCCCAATAGAATTTCCCTCCAAATTCAATGCTACTAAATTCTTCATGAATGGACTTGTAGAAAGTAACAAAGCCCCTTCACTTCCACAAAAAGTACCACTAAAATTGACATTTGTCAATTGTTCAAGATTGGACATGTTAAGACGGAATGCAAATTCTTTTCATCCATGAAAGAAAATGATTTAGATTGCGAACTGAAATCTAACATTAATGGAATTTGCAAGGCTTGTTGGAACCAT